TTTGGAGTCCAGATTTTCTGAGCTGCTCCCGTCTCTCTGCAGAAGACAGTGGGCGGGAAGAAAGACCGCTCGCTCTTCCTCTTCAGCGATCTCATCATCTGCACCACGCTGAAGAGGAAGTCCGGCTCTCTGAGACGCAGCTCCATGAGCCTGTATGTAACACACACACACACACACACCATAAGACTGTTTCTGCTCCACGCTGCCCCCTGCAGGTCTCTGTATTCACCGTCTGTGTTTTCCAGATACTCTGCAGCCAGTGTGATCGACACCTCCAGTAAATACAAGTTTCTGTGGAAACTTCCTCTGGAGGACGTGGAGGTGGTGAAAAGTAAGACTGTGATCGCACGGAGAATCTAACAGTTGCCTTCTTGTAACGTGCGCTGAGAAAGAAGTACCTCGGGTCACCCACTGGTTTTAGCTGTAGTCCTCATTTCAGTCTGAACCGTTCAGACCACATGTAGTCCAAGTGGGTTTGTCCTGAAAACTTAGTGTTAGGTCTCTTCATATAGTCCACTTACCTTGAAGGACTGATCGTTTTATGTCTTGTTCAAAACAAGTCTGATTTGTTCACGGACTGCTTCGTCTCTTAATGAAGGCTCTACTCAGGCGACGAACAAGGAGAGCATCCAGAAGATGATCAGTCGACTGGATGAAGATCTCAGCACGCTGGGTCAGATCAGCAAACTGTCTGAGACCCTCAGTTTTCCACATCAGGTATGGTGGATGTTGGACCACCCCTACTTTTTGTCATCTCTACTTGCTGCCTTCAGCTTTAGGCCTCCACAAAGTACCGTCTCGTTTTTCCTGTGTCTCAGTCACTAGATGAGGTCATCAAAGACTTGATGGCGTCGGTGCACAAAGAGCTGTCGGAGAAACAATCGTTGGCCTTCAGCATGACCTTTCTGCCCACGAAGCTGGAGTTTACCACGGCCTCCGCCGAGAGCAGCTTCGTCTTCGAGTTTAGCTCTCCAGACACTCGTTCCAGCTTCGAGCAGGCCTTCGAGGAAGCCAAGAAGAAGCTCGGTCAGTGAATGGCACGATGAGAGAAGATGCACTTAAAAGTAGAGAAATTGCATTTCCTGTGAAAATGTACTGTGCATGCTTATTGCAGAAGAACTTTTTGAAAAAACACTGAAATTAGCTAAATACATACTGAAATTTAGCTGAAATGGAAGAGCAAGCCTAAATTAGCAGAAAAAAAACACATTTGCTGAATTAGGTTTAAATAAACAGAAAAGAGCACAAAAATTAGGAAACTTGTAAAAAAAAAGGCTAAAATTAGCACAAAAAAATAGCTGAAAAGTCAGAAAGAAGCTTAAACTACCAGAAGGAAGCAGAAAAATCTGAAATGAGCTTTAAAAATGTAGAATTAGCTGAAAAAGCTCAAATGTGTATAAAACAACTACATAGTAGCTGCACTAGCAGAAAAAGCTAAAACTAGCAGGAAAAAAGCTAAAGAGAGAAACAAAAATTGGCAAAAAGAAGTTAATTAGGCTGAAAGTAGCAGAAATTACCACAAAAAAACTTGGAATTTATCTGAAAACAGCTTAAATTAGCTAAAAATGCTTAAAAAAAAAAAAAGTTAGCTCAAAAATTAGTATAAGTTTAAACTTGCATAAGGAAGCAGAACAAACACGTTTGCCCAATTAGGCTAAAAGAAGCAGAAATGAGCCCAAAAAAGTGGAAATTATCTGAAAAAAGTTGAAATGAGCCACAAAAAAAAAAAAACAGCTGAAAATAGTGAAAAAAGCTGAAAGAAGTCTAAATTGCCAGAAGGAATTGGAGAGATCACATTTTTGCTGAATTAGGCTGAAAAAAGTTGAAATGAGTGCAAAAAATGTGGAATTAGCTGAAAACGCTAAAATTAGCATAAAACAGCTAAATAATACGGTAGCTGAAATAGCAGAAAAAGCTAAAACTTGCAGAAAGGAGCTGAAAGGTGCATAACAAGCTGAAATTCGCAGCAAGAAGTTAGAAGCACAAACATGTTGTAGTTAGCAGAAAGAGTCTGAAAGGAGCACAAAACAGCTGAAAAACAGCTGAAAGTAGCTGGAAAAAAGTGTAAATTTGCAAAAGGAAGCTGAAAGAAGCTGAAGAAGAACAAAATGTGAAAGGAGCAGTAAAAGGTTGTAAACACATCTAAAGATTTTTAAGGATGTAAAATGAGCTCATTTCATTTTCTATGAGGAAAAAAGTGGCAGAAAAGGCTATAAATATTTCAAAAAGCTAAAGTTGCACCAAAACCAAAAGTCCTAGCAGGATTGTCCTGAACGAGCTGAACGTTTTGATTTGTGATTTGTTGAAATAGATGAAAACTGCAGGATGAGAATCAGGCTGAAAAACATACAGAAGAAAAATGGATCACATAGAGTGAATGCTTCATAAACGTTCACACGATCAGGAGGCTTGTTTTTACATTTGATTCTCTCGGGGGTTTAGCCATGAACAAGGACCAGTGGGACCCGGAGTTCCTGAAGGCCATCCCTATAATGAAGACCCGCAGTGGGATGCAGGTGAGAGCAGCAGGAACGATCCGAGTGAGCGAGCAGCCACAGTATGTCTGACTTGTTTCTGCGTGTCTGCAGTTCTCCTGTGCCTCTCCCAGCCACAGCTGCCCCGACAGCGGCTGTGAGGTGTGGGTGTGTAACAGTGACGGATACGTGGGACAGGTGAGCACTCGCTCGTGTTTATCCTTTAGGGCGGGAGGACCAAAGTTGTTGCAGATTCTGGAGCGACGTTTTCTCCGCAGGTTTGCTTGCTGAATATCAAAGACGAGCCCACGGTGGAGGCCTGCATCGCCGTCTGCTCGGCCAGGATCATTTGTATCGCTGCAGTTCCAGGACTCAAGGGGAGGTCAGTGCACACACACACACACACACACACACACACAATCTATCCTAACAATAGAACACCAGCATGATCAAACAAACAAAAAACATTTTTAATGCACAATGTGTCTTCCTTCCTTGAGTTGGTACTTTAAAGTCAATCATTGTCAGTTTTAGGCCGACAACACAGAAACAAAGTGTTTTTTTCGACTTATCAAAGAAAGTTCTTGTAGTTTGACGTAAAACAAAGAACGTTTCCAAACAGAAACTTGACCCAAAGATAAGGTTGATTCTTGGTTCAGATGGTTTGAAGTGGTGATCTGTGGAAAGAATGTGAACAACGAATATCTTACCTGTTGTAGATAGCTCTTTGCACAACTTCAATTTGGAGACAGAGTTTAATTCAGACAAAACCAACTGCTGGTCCTTAAAGGGACAAGACTTTAAGACTGAGGTCGTTCAAAGAGATATCTACAACAGGTAAGATATTTATTATTTATAACCTTTACACCGAAACCCACTTCAGATGATCTGAACTATTGCTGTAAAGTTTATTGCAACTGTTTTTTGATTTTTTCATTTTACTTTATGTGCGTCATTAAATCAATCGAACATGACCTCTCAGGGATCGTGGAGCAGAACCGGTCCCGAACTCCGGAGCGCTGGGTCACGCCCAGCAGCAGCTCCACATCTCCATCTCTCATTCGAACCTGGAGCTGACGGCGCAGCCTACAGGTCCGTTGCCGCCTCTCAGGAACAAGTTTTTAAATGACTCTCAGTTTGCTTGTCGTTTTGTTCGGAGACTTTTCGGTGTAGAACTAAACGCAGTTATGTGATTTGTGGTTTCTTGTTCTCAGGACCGGGGGCGGAGCTTGTGCCGTTTGACAGCGACGACACGGACGATGAAGATTCACCGAGTCCCTCCTCCACTCTGCAGAGCCAGGCCAGTCGCTCCACCATATCCTCCAGCTACGGCAGTGAGTAAAAGCTCATCACAGTTTCAGATGAACTTCCTTCATCTCTCCCAGACCCTTGACTTCACTTTCATCTTTCCACAAAGTCGACGAGGGTCCGAGCTCCAAAGACATGGCCACAGAGACCACCAGCAGCGAGGAGGAGCAGGAGCTCCCCGTGCCGAGCTCCTATGGTGCCCCGGGGATGCTGGGAGTGGGCGGAGGGAGTCACGCTCACACAGAGAGCTCGATGGATGGCCGGGCCATGCGGCGGTCCTCTCGAGGATCGTTCACCCGAGCGAGCCTGGAGGATCTGCTCAGTATGGACCCGGAGGCCTACCAGAGCTCCGTGTGGCTGGGCACGGAGGACGGATGGTACAACACACAGAATAAACCTCTCTCCGTTGGAATGTTTTAACCTCTTCATCACTAATTGACTGTGATGTCTGCGTTTCTGTCAGCATCCACGTGTACCAGTCCTCAGACAACATCCGCAACCGTAAGAACAGCATGAAGATGCAACACTCAGCCTCCATCCTGTGCATCCTGTAAGGCTGCCCTTTCACCTCCAAATAAATCGTTCAAAGCAGAATATCACCAAAGTTTATTTTATATGTAGACACGTTGTTGATAGAGACAGGATATTAAAAAAACGAGTGAGTTCAAAGCATTTTGAAGCAGAAATTTATTGTAAATGTAAGAAGTAAATAGTGTTTTGTTCTTTTTTCTCACAACAGGTATTTGGATGACAAAGTGTTTGTGTCTTTAGCAAATGGAGAGGTCATTGTTTATCAGAGAGAAGCTGGTAAGCTGGGGACGTTATTTGTGTAAATTATTATTATTATTTTGGTCTTTATTTCCGCTATCTGCAGCGCAAACCTTTACCTCCAAATTGTCAGGAAAAAAAAATCACTTTTCATTCTTGTGTTGTGGTTTGGTGGAAAAAATCAGCCATGCATTTATTTTTGTCCTTGTTTTCGTTTATTTATGGTCTTTAGAAACTTCTATGAAACTTTTTCTGATAAAGCCCAAACAAAGTCCTTACTCTCCTAACCTGACTGTAGCTTTACACGCTCATGTTCTTTATAGGTAAAATCAGCTACATTAAAGTACAACTTCTTATCCCATTTTTATCATACCATAAAATAATGCATTCCTCTCAGTAGTGTTTTTTTTTCTTTGCACCCCTATCCACCTTATTCCCCATGCTGCCTTGCGTGAATTATGGGCGCGACTTCTTCTGCCGTGGACCAGAACCAGCATTTGTTTATGTGTGAAAAATACGAACTAATGTAGTTTCTCTGAGTATTGTGGATTTAATTTAAACTTGTAGGAACACCACCTGTCAGAACTCAAAAAGGACAATATAATCATACCACTGCTGCTGAGGACGAGCTGAAGAAGTGGCTGCAGATTACATCTACTAGCATATTTAGCTACTTATACAGGCTTATTTAGCTACTTATACTAGCATATTTAGCTACTTATACTAGCATATTTAGCTACTTATGCTAGCATATTTAGCTACTTATACGAGCATATTTATCTACTTATATTAGCATATTTAGCTACTTATGCTAGCATATTTAACTACTTATATGAGCATATTTAGCTACTTATACTAGCATATTTTTAGCTACTTATGCTAGCATATAGCTACTTATGCTAGCATATTTAGCTACTTATACTAGCATATTTAGCTACTTATACAGGCTTATTTAGCTACTTATACTAGCATATAGCTACTTATGCTAGCATATTTAGCTACTTATACTAGCATATTTAG